AATAAATGTTTGTTGAAATAATGCATGAATAAATGGTTTCAGGCCATTGTTTCATAACCCGTGTGTCCTGAGGTCAGGACAGCAGGAAGCTGTCCTTGAAACATTTCAGCAGCCTGAATTTTCTTGCTTTCTTTTTTCTATTTTGACCATTCAGAACCTGTAAAAACCTCAAAGGGGTCATAAGTGAACCCTGATGAGACAGGTGGGCCTGAGCTAAAGCTTGAATTATGGAGTAAGAGCTACGGCTACCAATTCTTATAGAGTTCTTAGGTCAAGGTCTGCCAACAAGCCCAAAGGATGAAGGTGGGACCTGCAAATACAGGCAAAGCCAGAGGTCCTTAACTGTGCAGTTATGGAGCAGAATGTGAACAAGCAGGAAAAGCAAGGGAGGTCCAGGCTGACTGCCGCATATGGTACTAGAGTATCCATGATTGGCTTTTATGGACCATCTTCCTCATGGTGAATGGGAGGGTCCAGCAAATTAGAGGTACAAGGACTGGGCAGGAAGTGAGTACATAATAACTATTCATTCCATATATATGTTTTTATTCATCCACTGATAAGGAAGGAGCCCCGGTGGCACAATTGTTAAGTGCTTGGCTGCTAACTGAAAGGTCAGTTTGAACCCACCCATTGACTCTGCAGGTGAAAAGACCTGGTGATCTGTTTTCATAAAGATTACAGCCTACGAAACCCTATGGGGCAGTTCTACTCTGTTCTATAGGATCACCATGAGTCAGAACCTACTCAATGGCACACAACAACAACAATAACAGTGTGTATAAGGCCCAGTGATAGGTTTAACGGATGTAAAGTTGTATAAGAGAGCAGTGGTGGTTCAGTGGTAGAATTCTCCCCTTACACGTGGGAGACCTGGGTTGGATTCCTGGCCAATGTATCTCAAGCTCAGCCACCATCTGTCTGTCAGTGGAGGTTTGTGTATTGCTATGATGCTGAATAGATATCAGCAGAGCTTTCAGACTAAGACAAACTAGGAAGAAAGGCCTAGAGATCTACTCCTGAAAATCAGTCAATGAAAACTCTATGGATCACAACAGTCCATTCTGCACGGGGTCACCATGAGTTGGGGGCCCCATGAGTTGGGGCTGACTTGGCAGCAGCTAACAACAACAAAGTTGTATAAAATCCAACTGCTGATGTGAAATTTTTCATCTAAACTCTGAGCTTCTAACCTGTCTATGTTCTTCATGATACTAAATCATTTATTTTTCTGTTCCTGGAATGATAATCTAATGATAAGAACTGTCTACAAATATTTAAAACCATTTCAGTTAACACTGAGCTTGTTGTTGTTAGATACTGTCAAATCAAGTTCCGACTCATGGCAATCCCATGTGTGCAAGGAGAATTGCTCCACTGGGTTTTCAAGACTGTGACCTTTCAGAAGCAGATCAGCAGGCCTGTCTTCTGAGGTACCTCTGGGTAGGTTTGAACTTCCAATTTTTTGGCTAACATTTGTGCCTCCCAGGGACTCCTTTAATACTGAGCACTATCCAGTATATCTGATTTTGACAATATTTTTTTTGAGTGTTTATTGGTTTTTTAAAAAACATTTTTATAAATTGCTTTGCATTTCCATTTTGTAATGATTGTTTCCTGAACTTTTTGGAAGTGGTACTCAGTAAATAAATTACCTCATGATCATGTAATGTAACAAGAGGAAATGCAAGATTGCCAAAATTGCAAAAGAATAAGGAAATAAGGAAACTTCTCTTCGACATAATTATATAAAATTTTATTTTGAAGATGAAAACATCATGATGACTTTGTTAGTATGGAAACAAAATTTAGGAAGTTGAAAGAAGGGTGAATAAGCCACAAAGGAAAATAGCACGCATAGCATAAAGATAAAGATTTCAACTAGGAAATTATGAATCATCAGAAATACTTGATTTCGAGGATGCTGTCCATAGTACTTTCCAATGTTCTTTATCTCTCAATTTTTTGAACAAAAACTTTTTTTTTGTTTTTATTTTTCTATTCTAGGTTCTTTTCATAGGTACTTAGGTAATATTGATGGTAGAGAATTTGAACAATACTGCTTTCCAAGGGATGGTTTTGCTGATGTGTGACTGAGCTAGTTTTTTGATTGACATTTTCAGAAGTTGAGATTATTAAAGAAATAAGAGATCAAATTAGATGTGTTGGAAATTATGGTAGAATTCTGGAGAAAGAATGGCTTGGTTATCTGTATTTCATATATGTGCTCCAAAAAGATTACAGCCTAGGAAACCCTATGGAGCTGTTCTACTTTGTCTTATAGGTTGGCTATGAATTGGAGTTCATTTGATGGCACACAACGACAACGACAACAACATGTTATATGTTGAACATGAATATATACAATCAAATAATGTTTACTGAGCACATATTATAGCATCTGTGATTGGAGAATGTGGACGGACAGATGAAGGTAACTCTTAGCAGATTCCCTAATATTTACCAATGTGCTACTAACTCAAAAATTCTACAAAGCACCAAAGAGGAAAATGGCATGAGTGTGTTATAACATATGTGAATAACTTGGTGAAATCTCTGAGCCTAATAAGGCCAGGATGTGGGAAAACAGCGTCATTGCTTGCTCAGCCAAGTTTCTGTTGGCTACGTGCCTTATCCTCAGCCCCAAACTGCATCATGACATCCCAGCACTAACTGCATTGCGCTTCCTTTCCATATAGTTAATATTTGACAAACATTTATTTAGCACCTACTCTATCAGACATTTTTCTAGAGGCATGAATGACAACAGGAAGTGGGATGACTTTTGGTTTCTGACCTGCAAAGGTAAATAGTCATAAATAACCACAGTGCAGTTTCATAGTCATTTTGATGGAGGTATGCATAAATTGCTTTGTTCTTTGTGCTCTAATAGGTCCTAGCCTCATCCCTAGAATTATTAGGAAAAGAATATTGGTTTTCCAACACTGTTTATAAGCAAGCAACCCAAAAACCAAACCTGTTGCCGTTGAGTCGATTCCTAGTCGATTCTGACTCATAGCAACCCTACAGGACAGAGTAGAGCTGCCCCCATAGAGTTTCCAAGGAGTTCCTGGTGGATTCGAACTGCTGACCTCTTGGTTAGCAGACGTAGCTCTTAACCACTATGCCACCAGTGTTTGCCTCAGTGAAGAAATTAACACTTGACAAGGTTACATACTAAATTTATTTATTTTCCTTGTTTTATTTACTGGATAAACAGTTAAGCCAGGTCCCAATAACCAAATGCTCTGTATATTTTACCGTCTTATGCTGGTTGATAAACATTGTGGCTTTATTTGATCTCCTTTTAGTTGTTACCATGAGCGGAAAATGCAGCTTGTATCTATCATGTCAAACTTTTTTCTTAACTAGCTATCTGCACCCAAGCTTTGGGTTGTGGTTCTGTGGGTGTAGGGAGGAGGAGGGTAGTGTAGAGTGGGGAAGTGGGGGAGGATTCTGGCTTCTTGGTTGTTTCCTTAATGGGTTGCTTGTTAACTCGAGGATTGTAGCCACAGCTGTTTGGAGACAATGTGTGCTCTGGGGGTTAAGCACCAAAGAAAGAGAAGATAAGTAAGTTTTATTTATTAAGCTTCAATTATGAGTCAGACTCATGCTGGAGTCCATCATCAGTGTGGTTTACTCTTCTTAAGAGTCTTGTGAGGTGGGAGTTATTGCCTTAATTTTGCAGAGGAGGAAACTGAGGACACTCAACATCACACAGAGTTATAGTTGAGATGTAACCCAAACCTATCTTCTCAAAAGCATATTGGGCTAAAGCCAGCACCTACAGGGATAAGGAATAGAGCCACAGGGAAAGAAGAAATAAGTATAAAAACACTAAGTCCACCAAATGTGAATGCTTTTGCTTTTTTCAAGTCTTCCTAGAAAACTCTCAATTCAGTTTACATTCATGACTAAATTAAGATGTACACGGAGGAAGCAGAATGAGCGGTGAATATAAGTAGGAGCCACCAGCTGTTGAGCTGTTGAGACATAGAATCTCAACAATGCATACAACATCCTACTTAGTGTGACATCTTCACTTCAAAAGGTGCACTTCATGTGGTTCCCAGAGACTCCAAGACCGGGTCATGGTTGGAGATTGAGATTGAAGGCTGATTACCAGGAGCATTAACTGTCCAGCTGGCCCTACTGATTCCAAATATTTTGTTGTTGTTAGTTGCCCTTGAGTGAGCACATGGGGGCCTTACATACAACAGAAGAAAACATTGCCGGGGCCTCACAATTATTCATATGTTTGAGCCCATTATTGCAGCCACTGTGTCAATCCATCATGAGGAGAGTTTCCCTCATTTTTGCTGACCCTCCACTTTACCAAACATGACGTCCTTTTCTAGCAATTGATCTTTCCTGATGAAGTGTCCAAAGTAAGCAAGACAAAGTCTCACCATCCTTGCTTTTAAGGAGCATTCTGGCTGTAATACTAGTTAGAACATGGACTCCAATATGGAACGTCAAAACCTAACTCTTTAATCAAAGAACTAGAGCAGTGTTTTTTAACTATAAGTCATGATTCATCATGAAATCACTTTATTGGGTTGTGACCAACATTGAAAAAAAAAAGTGGAATAAAATAAGATAGGATAGAAAATAAAATATCAGAACACACCATACGTAGTAAAGGTAAGTATTGTTTTGTGAACTTGTTTTAGGTGTATAAGTGTGTGTATGTAAATACATACATACATACATACGTCATATACACACAGTCTATATATACATATATAACACCTATATACGTACATGTATTTGCCGGATCACATAGGTTTGCCATTCTTCCCCTGGCCAATGAAGTTTTTATTTGAATTTCTATCTGTAAAATTGGGACAGGAATACTCCCCCAACTCATTTCAAAGAAATTACTAAGTGTCTCCTTTATAATAGTGTGCAAATAAATGATATTTTTATTGAAAATTAGCAGTTTATCCTATAACCATAAGAAATAACTAATATTTTGAAAAAGGAAAAGAACGTCTTCAAGTGGTGAAATTGGTTTATTTTTGTATTCTTTATTTTTATCTTTATTTTCTGTTATCTATAATGAGAATTCATTGTCTTATAATGAAAAAAATACTGATATATCTTTAAAACCCACCAAACCCTCAATGTTCTATACATTGAAGAGGAAACCAGTTTTACCACAAAGACCTTAGAAAGAAAAAGAGCAAACATTACAAAACTACAGAACAATCTCTAAAAGCAAAGTATTCTTTTGGTGGTTTTGTTATGTTGATCTTGGCCTAATTATACAGTAAGTTCCTAGTCTGGGGCCATTTTCTGCTGTTTCCAGCCAGTAAAAAAAAAAAAAAGTTTAAGTAGGTTCAATCTGTGTCACTCCATGAATGTTAGCCCAGCAGGGAGCTATAGTAAATTTCTGTTTGACTTGGGCTTTTCTTGGCAGGAATAATCTCTCCAGATGCCCTTGCTGGTAAAGGCAGCAACTTGAAAATGTTTTCAGGATAGTTAGACCCAGGTAATGCTGAAGGGAGGATTAACAAGACACCAGCATTGGTTGACTTTGCAAAATTTGTTGTGGCCCCTTGAGTCATACCTACTAATTATTGAATCCAACTAAATATGTTGTTTGAGGCAGGCAGCAAAAGCTAAATAAGTAAAAAAACTATCGTATCACCCATACCCCACTTCCAAAGTTTTCTCCCCCAATGTTCATTTGCTTTGAGAAATTTTTATTCCAGTCACTCTGTTAAATGTCCTACTTAATACTCCAAACTGACTGGGATGGTGCATTGAGAACAATATTGATAGCAATCATAACAATAAAAAGTTGTTAGTTTTTTTAAAGCACAGACTACATATGAGGAACTATGCTAAGTGTTTTCCATATATCATCTCATTTTCTTCACCTTCCAGTTGCCGTCAAGTTTATTCCAGCTCACGGCGACCACATGTGTGTCAGAGTAGAACTGTACTCCATACAGTTTTCATGGCTATGACCTTCTGAAAACAGATCACCAGGCCTTTTTTCAAAGGCACTTCTGGATTGGGTTTAAACAACCAACATTTTGGTTAGCAGTTGAGCTCTTAACCATGTGTACCACCCAGCTTTGCCAATAATCTCATTTAGTGCTCACCACAATCTATGAGGCACTTATAAAATGCCCATTTCACAGATAAGGACACTAAGGCTCAGGGAAGGAAGGAAGTGTGGCACAAGCTATGTGCCATGCTAAGGAGTTAAGACCTTGAAGATTTTTGTCAGGGAAGTCACTTGTATCTGCTTTAAAAAGATAATTTGGGTGATAGTGCATAAGGTGAAAAAACCAAACGGTCAGAGATTAAATACAGGCATATGTACATTATGTATCAGCTAACATATAACTCTAAGGAAAATCAGTCTTTACTAAACCAAACCTCCCTTAAGTATTTTTTTTTTTTTTGCATGAAATTCTGGAGATTTTTCTCATATGAAACTGTAACTATTAGCACTATTTCTTTGCTCTATTATTAAGAAATATTTTTAAACATACTGCAGCTTGATTTATTTTATTTATTTAGCATATGAAGGCTAATGTAAACATGAGAAGATTCTTTCAGAGTTGGATTGAAAGTGAAAAAAAGAAGTTACATAGCAAACGTATAGATCTAGGCAGCTAGTAGCTAATTCCCCAAAAGCTTCCTGATTATTTTCTTATACATTGGGGCCTGCGGGTCTAGGCAAATCTTCCTCCCATTCTTCAACGTGGCTCTGCCAGGGAAGAGAAAAGAAGAGAAAATTTCAGTCCTTGGGCTTGAAGAGGGGATTAGATCTAGGTAGGGATGGGCAGAGGGGGCAGAGGGTGGGCAGGGATGCAGCAGTGCAAAGACTCACATCATTTGGGCCTTGGGGCAGTGGAGTCCAGACTTGATCATTTCCAGGCTGGTGACGTGCTTGGGATGGACTGTGGAGGTGGTCTTCACACACATGCAATGTAGGTCTGAGTCTTCTTCTGCGGGGTCAGCTATAGAAGAGGGAGGGGGTAATGGTGCAGGGATGAGGGAAGGAGTGGTAACTCCACAAGTGGTTAAGAGTACCTTAAGAATCTTTTCCACTGTGTTTGAAATTTATTCCCTTATCCACAAATCATACCTTTCTCAGAAAGGAGTTATATTGACTGAAGGTAAAATGCACTTAGCGCTTGGCACAGTGCCTGCCCATTTGGCAAGCCTCAATGAAGTATAGTTCTATGCTGACTCCTCTCCAGCCTGGGAATTCCCAGACCCTTTCACCACCGCCCTCGTCCCTCCCCGCCTTACTTTTGTTCTTACCACTGGCGCTGGCAAACGCAACCACGGCTGGCAGGAGCAGCAGCCCTAGGAGCAGCAGCCCTGGGCTGGGCTGGGCGTGCCAGGTGCCAGAGCTCCTTTGGTGGCTCATGTTGCGGAGGTTTCACCAGAATCTGAGTGCTGAGGGGAAGTCAAGGCAGGGGACTCTGCAGGCTAGTGGCTCCAGGCGTGTTTTATCCTCGCTATCAGTCCAGTCCGGAAGCCTGGGGTGGAGGGTGGAGGGTGGAGACCTGCGGTGCAGAATTGGAAACACTTCTGAAACATAGTTGGGCTCTGGCCAGCCAAGATTAAAAGAAAAAAAAAAAAAAAAAGACTAAAGTTCTGCTGCCTTGCCTGGGAGCTCCTAGCAGGATCTTTACCCTCAGCCCCAACACAGATACAGGCACATTTAGGAGGCAGAAACAGCACTTTAACTAAGATGTGTGCTTTCTGTGTTATGTATAGTGGTAAAGTTCTCCATGGTCATCATGCTGCAAATTACACTGCATATACTTTCAGGACTGAGACATTTTCTGTTGCCTCCCCAGCTCACAGCTGCATTACCAAGAACTGCCCATAAACTCCTACTTTTTTTGTTGCTGATTAATACTGAAATGAATTTGCTGGGTGTGTGTGTTGAGAGTGTGCTGTTTGTAATTTTTTTCTGCAGCTAAAAAGTTGAATTTGGTCTTTAGGGGATGACCCCCTGAACATGGAAGCCTTCCCCAGTCTCACGGGCATATCTACCTGGTTCTACCAACCATCATCCAATACACCGTAGGAAGTAAGGTCTATCACCCTCCTTTATTCTCTCACTCTTAGAAGAATTACAAAAGTCATATCTGAATGCATTATTTTTGTAAAAATGTAGTCCCTGGATCTTACTCCATTCTGCTCAGCCCTGGATAATAGCCCAGAAGAGAAGACAAGAAGGGGGCTTTGCAGGCCACTACTTTCAGTGTCTGCTGTGTTCTCTGCCACTACCATTGACAGGGTGAGGCAGGCTGCTCTGTGGGTGGGGAGCAGTGGTGCTCTCTGAAGGAGGACACAGAATCTTGGAGCACAAAGGAGTGTGGAAATGCTGTGGAGATGAGGGTGAGGGTGTACACCAGAATCCAGCAGAGGACAGGTGGAGAGCTCAACATGAAACATCTTCCCTTCCCTGAGAAAGAATGAATTTGGCTCTTTATCGGGGTAAAGCACACCTTCATTTCAAAGCCAGACTGACTAACTGACTAACATTTGTGAAGGGCTGGCCTCAGGACCCTGCTCCTGCAAAACTAGCTGATGTCCTAATGCTTAGCAGGGCCAAACTTCTGCAGGAATATGCTATTTAATTCCTGGATCTGCAATGTTCTTTCCCCTTCATCAGCCAGCTAAGTTCTAGTCATGTTCCTGAGGTCAGCTTAAATACCACTTCCTCAGAAAGGCTTTCCATGACAACTAAATTTGATTGTGTTCCCCTGTTTTACCTTGTAACACCGTTCGCTTTTCCTATTTCTCACAGGTAATACACCGACATACATACACACTCATACAGACACATACACATATATTATAACACAAATACATATGCATGTCCTGGCGGCACAGTGGTTAAGAGCTCAGCTGCTAAACAAAAGGTCGGCAGTTCAAATCCACCAGCTGCTCCTTGGAAACCCTACGGGGCAGGTCTACTCTGTCCTATAGGGTTGCTATGAGTAGGAATTGACTTGAAGGCAATGAGTTTGGTTTTTTGGTTTATATGTATATGTTTGTTTAAAAGTATTTCTCTCCCTAAATAGAAAACTCTATGAGGTTAGAGATCATAGCAATTGTTTATTGCTATTCTAATACACTAGTAGGGACTCAATACAAAGTAGCTACATTGATGAAAATAATAAAAGTTGAAGATGATGATGATGGGAAGGCTTTGACTTGCTAATGTGTCTGTTCCTCCATGTGATTGGAGCATACCTCTATATTAGCATGTGTTACATATGGTTGCAATTATTTTTTAACTTGTCAATATCTCCTATTAGACAGTGATCTCTTCAAGGGCAATTCCCTGTGACATATGTTTCTGAATATCTAGCATCCAACACAATGGCCGATGCAGAACACACTGTAATTCATAACTGTTTATGGAACTGAAACCTGAGGTCTCAAACTGGATTAGCAGCAGAGGGAAAGGTTAGGAGGAGGAATCTTGGATATGTTGGCAGCATATGGGTTTGTACAACCTTAGCCCTAGTTTCAATATTTGCAGTGTAGAGGAATCCAGAGTATACTAAGTGGCAATTAAGCCAGTCTTTCTCTGCAGCCAAACAGAATAACTCACTATGTGCACGTAAAAGTAAAAGACACCTGCATGTCAGAAGGCATAAGTATATTGAAAACACTGTGTCACGTCTCAGAAGCCGGCCCTGTTTGGTTTCAGCAGGGAACCACTAGAGATATTAAGCACATGATGCCTGAACTATTTTGAGTTATTGCAGAAAAGCTAATGAAAATGACTGCAATCTGTATTTACTGCTTTATCACATGTTTGTTTATGTGTAGTTTTGGTTAAACATTACCTAATAAAGGCGTTTATTTTGTAAATAAAACTTTTTTAGACATCAAGCCTACGATGGTGAGGAGATAATAAAAGGAGCCCTTAGTAATGCAAAGTTTGTGAAATAACATGTTTTGTATATGAAAACTATCCATAAGGAAGAAGTACATCTAGAATGCTCCTTAGAAGCGAGGATGGGGAGACTTCGTCTTGCTTACTTTGGACATGGTATCAGGAGGGATCAATCCCTGGAGAAGGACATCATGTTTGGTAAAGTAAGGGTCAGCAAAAAAGAGGAAGACCCTCAACGAGATAGGTTGACACAGTGGCTGCTACAATGGGCGGAAACATAGCAACAATTGTGAGGATGGAGCAGGACTGGGCAGTGTTTTGTTCTGTTATACGTATGAGTTTGAGCTGACTCGACAGCACCTAATAACAACAACAACATATGAATGCTCCCCAAAATCCCTGTACATGTTGGAAATAGCTGACCCTATTTCTTCTCCTGTAATTAGTATATGTAATACATGTGCATCAAGTTATTTATGTATCAAGTCCTATTTTGTGTGTCATAACAGCATGTAATATATGACATTATCTCTTTATTAGAAAAAGAAGAATCAAGTAAAGTGGTGTGGTATAGTGGTTAAGAGCTCTGTTTCAAATCCCCACTCCCTTATCTACTTAGTTGTCTGATCTTGGGCAAGTTTCTTAATCTCCTTGATCTTCAGCTTTTCTTCTCTGTAATACTGGTGATGCTAATAGTAATAATGATAAATAATCACTAGTTTGAGGACAAAGTCTTTCAGACAAACCAGGTGGCCATGGTTTTCTCCATTCCTCCACCTGCTAGCATCTTTAGGCCTTAGAACAAAACACCACCCCTACTGAGGCTTGATGTTATTTTATAACAGGGTTAGAAAGATAAAATTCTGGGCTAACCACATACCCTTCCTCAGGAAGTCTGAGGGACATGGTGCTGAGGACCTCAGAACAACCCCTACCCCCACCCTCACTGAGGCCTGATGTTTGTGAGCAGGGTTAAAAAGATACAATTAGTCAAGGAGGCTGGAGGTATTAAAATAGGTGGGTTCCTTCTGCTCAGCCCTGGATAATCCCTGGGTCTGGAATGTTCTGGAGGACTTCCTTTTTCTCTGTCTCCTCAGCTATGGTGTTGTGGCCAAAACATAGTAGAATTAAGCTTACAGCCTACCTAAGTGGACCTACCTGGCCAGGGGGAGACCTGCAGTAGGTAGGCTCCCGCTGTGTCCCCCATCCATGGAGCCAGGTGGAGGGTTTGTGTGGAAGAGTGCTTTACATCCACCAGGAGAGTTTCCAGAAGCTGGGGGGATTGGTGTGTCCTGTGAGTGTCCCATTTGAGTCCCTCATTCACGACAAAAAGTGGGGTGGGAGTAGAAGAGTCATCATCTCCACTCAGGCGGCTTTTGAGCCAGCAGGACTGCTTACTTACTGTATGCTGTCTGCTTCTTATTGCAAGTTATAAAAGCTACTTTCCATGTGCTGGCTTATGTTCAGGCTCTGATCAGAAGGACATGATGTCTATGGAGCAATCTGTTAGTTACTAGTTCCGTTTCTCTAAGGGCCTCCTGGCTATCTAGAAATCGGGGATGATCTGTGAGTACCGTGCACTGCTGGTGTGATGTATCTTAGATATGGTTCAGCAAAGCAGGGTCTGACGGAGCTAATGTATCCCAGATATAGCATGTTGTCTTACAACTAGTAGTTATATATGGGTTATTGTGTGCCATGCAATATTCGAAGCACTTTGAATCTATTAACTCATTTGATTCTAACATCAACTCTATGAGGTAGGCAATATTATTATCACCATTTTAGAGACAAAGGAACTAAGGCACAGAGAAGTTAAACGACCTGCTGAAAAGGTACACAACTAGTAAGCCGTGGAATCAGGTTAGTCAGTTATTTTTGTTCTGTAAAACCTGCTCTGAACCAGATCACAACTATCTTATAAGAATTCCTGACTGCAGAACTCTTAATATGCTTGGCATACTAGAAGTTTTAACAAATTTTAGCTATCATTATACTACATTAAAAATGGTACAGATTATTAACCAGTGAGTTTTATTGACCATATTTTGAAATACTAGTGTGAAAAAAAATAAAGAGGAGAATTAGGGTTTTCCCCCAACAATTCTCTGAAAATTAATAATATATGATAATAAAGCAATAGAAAGTTTTGATTTCATATTAATACTTGTATAAGAATTATGTGGGTATAAATTTTAGAGGTTAAGAAATGAGTCTATTGATTAAAATGGGAAAATAAGTAGTCTAGTAAAGTTTAAGTGCTTGATTGTACTTATGTGCAAAGATGCTTCTAATACTAAAACTGTAACCATGCAGATATTAAATGAAAATGTATGCAAACATGCCAGAGTGTAACACTTAACATCAAGTAGAACCTATCTTCTTCATTTTTTTTCTTTTTTGCAGAAAATACTGGAGGGCTTCATAGAGCTTATTAATACCCTTTCATCATATATTCTTTGCCATATTATTATTACATTTATTTATTTTAAAGGAAATAACCACTGCTTACAAGATTCACACACTACAACTTTATTAATTTTAGGATTTAAGAGCTAAAATAAACATTAGAAAAATCTT